CTAGACCCGCGGCTGGCAGCCGTTCCGGCGTTCTTCTCCAAAACCGCGGCGGTTTACAACCCCATCATCTACGTGTTCATGAACAAACAGGTGACATTTGCATTCATGCATTTGGCAGATGCTTTCATCCAAAGTGACTTACAATGCATGCAGTTCATGCATTGCCCTGGGATCAGACCCATGATGTATTATATTTGATGCACACATTTCTAAAGCTCTAAATGATCTCCTCATGTCTTCTGTCATCTGATTGATAGTTTAGAGTTTTTTATCCAGTAAAAGCTCTTTTAGTGTAATTGCACAAACGTCCAGCTTCAGCTATCTCACATCTTCTGAGGAGCCTTTATTTCTTCAGCTCTCCATCACTGCATTATATGTTTGGAGCATTTCAATCTCATCTCACTGAGACAGATTACTGGAGATATAGAGCGACCGCTGATATTCAGATCATTTTATGTCAGTATCTGCTGTAGTGTTATAAAGATGTCACTGATTTACATTACAAGCAGCAGAATTTCATCATATAAATATCAGCATCTGCACCACTTTCATATTTTTGCTCAGTTTGAGTCTCTGAAAAAAATTGAGCTGTTTTTCCTTCATATTCTCACTTTATCAGACTATACGAGCCTGACGGATAAAATATAATGCTTAAAAAAATCAAATTTATTTTTGTTTAAATGTTCAATAAACTCCATTAAAATAAATTCAGATTTTTCTGACTATTATTTCATATGTCAGGCTATAATATTAACCATTATGCATTTGACCAAAAATTAATCAATTAATTTAGGTTATAAAAACGTTGCGGGAACATTGTTTTTTAATGTTTCTAAAACGTCCAGTTTTCTTGTCACATTTGTAACATTATTTAAAGGTTACAAAAACTTTCTTAGAATCTTCATGACATGTATTCAATCTCTCTAAATATCGAGAATGAATATTTGTTAGTTATTCGAATTAAAGAAGAAAACTTGTCATCATTTACTCTCAAAATAGCTTATGCTGGTGATCCATCTTCATCATCATACGATATTAGATCCTCAGAAGAATGCAGAGCGACAGCGTTACATAAACTCACCCTTTGATTGGTGTTGTTAGTCGTCAGCTTCATCTTTAATAATAAATGGATCGTTAATAAATGAGCAGTAAAATGCAGCGTGAAGCGAGCGCAGGATGGTTTTTAAGCCGAAATGATTTGGCCTGATAACACCTGCATCTCTCTGTTATTGTTTTTATTATTAAAGGCTGTATAAATAGAGGCATAATTTAATAAAACAGTTAAACATTATCTTTTGATCAGTAGAAGCTTATAAACATAAACCCAATGGAAATACAATTCTACTTCCTTTGAATGTCAGATGGCGGGAAATTTCAATGACTTTAATGTTGATTACAGTGATATTACATCATTATGAAAAACATAAAGGCACAAATTCAAAGTCTAAATAATAAACTCAATCGTGAGGGAAAATTGTCAGAATTGCAACATATAAATTCAGAATTGTGATAGATAAACTTTAATTTTTTATTGCAGAAAAAAACAATAACAAAAAAAAAAAAACAGAATTATGAGGTATAAACACAATTCTGTCAAAAAAAGGTAAGAATTGTGAAATGTAAACTGAAAATTGCGAGAAAAAAGTCTGAATTGTGAGATGAAAAAGTCACAATTAAATTAGTATTTTTTTAATTCAGTGGTGGGGAAAAAAACTATTGTGAGATCTAAACCCAAAATTAAAAAAAGCTTGAAATGTGAGTTTATAATTCTTGGCGAAAAATGCAAATTGTCCAAATTGTGAGATAAAAAGTGTTTTTATTATTATTTTTTATTAAAAATGACAGAATTGCGGGAAAACAAAGTCTGAATTACAAGAAACAAGAAAAGTAAAAAAAAAAGAAAAAAAGTTGTTCAGTGGTAGAATAGGACTTCCATAGTTTCTAGGTTTGAACTGCTGGTATTTCTTATGAATATTCAATATAACATAAACTAATTATAAGATTAGTAAGGCCAAACTCAAACGCAGTTTGCAACTTGCGTTGCTAAATGATTTTGCGGCGATGCTTGTACTTAAATTTTGATCTTAATAATATTGCATGAAGATCTCGAGGCGTGGCGAGAAAGTTTCCTGCGTCCCAGTTAAAATCCCCCGCTTCTACATGGGTTACTGTAGCTGAAAGAGCTTGAAGAAATAAGTCCTTATGCAAGCCATTTAGGACTGAGGCTGCTTTCCAATACTGTGTTTGAGAAGCGCGCAAGACTTAGAAAAATCCTAAAGCTGTCATGCGGGATGATATCGTTTCACCAGAGCTGATGTATCTGACATATACTACTAAAATAAAAAATAAATAAATACCTGCTGTTTAGATCAAACCTGGCGCACTCTAAAGGAGAAGATGCTGAATTATTGAGCAGCTGTGGAGGTTACTGGACGTAAACAGTGTTTGGCAGCGCCGCATCTTTCCGTCGTCCTACTGAGCTGTAGCTGTCAGTTTAGCCACTTCTCTCCATTCAAACGCTGACGTCTGGATGCTGTCCACACTCGAACGTGAACAGCTCTCCTATTCAGAAATCTGCAAAAATACGTGCACAGCAACACGGCATGCTTGTTTGATGGTCATCTCATACTAAATAATGTTGTCAGTGGTCAGACTGATTTGCTGGAGTTCAGTTTGATGCACTTCTTCAATGGGTTAAAAAAGAAAATAGGTGAAAAATAAAAACTGAGATGTTTTTTAGGAATGCACTTTTTACACTGAAACAAAATATTTTTCAAAGTTGTAAATAAAAGCAACTAAAGTGGGTTTTACAAGATAATACTAAGTCAGTTTTAAAATATATTATAGTTTCTTACTTTAATTTAGATTAAAAGTAAAACAGAAATATATATATATATATATAAACAAAAATACTAAAAATAAAATGTAATAAAAATAAAAATATGAAAAAAAGTATAATCATACTTCAATAATACAACAAAAAAAAAACACAAAAGTTGTAAATAAAACAAAATATACTGAATTGGGTTTTACAAGAAAATACAAATTCAGTTTTATAGTATAATATTCAGTAGTTTTAATATATATTATAGTTTCTTATATATATATACACACATATACATATATGTATACAAACAAAAATACTAAAAATAAAATTTAATAAAAATACAAATATTAATAAAAAGTATAATCATACTTATGATTTAGGGTACAATATATATACAATAATATAACAAAAAAACACACAAAAGTTGTATACACACATATACATATATGGATACAAACAAAAATACTAAAACTTTAAATAAAATTAAAATGCTAAATATAATAATTAAAACTATAACCGTACCTCAATAATACTAAAATAACACAAAAACAGCTATAATTGTAGTGCTGATCACAGTTTGTACTTGTAAATTAGACTGAAAAGCAATGAGTAATAACATTTGTAGAATTAGTGCATTGGTGTTTTACTAATTACAGCTGGGCATATTAATACACTGTATTTTTTTTACTTGTAAATAACCCCATGACTATTTAAGCACGTTTTACAATAGAATGCTATTTCAGTCTTTTTACTTCAAAACTCTAATGTTTATGTCAGTGTGTTAATTGCTGTTTCTTTGTACTTATTTGTCAACTTTACAATTCGTTTCCGAGTCTGTTTCAAAGCAAGTTACCAGGCGTAGGAGTTACTTTGAAACTATTTTGACAAATAATCACAAAGAAATGGCAAGTAACGCACTGAATTGAACAGAGAATTTTTGAAGTAGAAAACTATAATAACTCTGGTGTTATTTTTAGTGAATTGCATGATAAGAACAACTTTTAATAAATTGCATGATAAAAGTGATTTTAAACCTATAGCCAAGATATGCGTTTGAAAAGCCCTATATTTACAGGATCAGTTCTGTAAAGCTTCATCCTCAGAACTGCAGAGACACAGACGGGCTTTTCAAGTGACTGTAGGACACAAACTAATTAGTGTCTATCGGACTCTGTAGCTTCATGACTGGGGACTAATGAAGAAAGAGAAGGACGATGTGAACCGCAGGCTAATGTGGAAACAATTAACGATTACTGTGCAATTATGAGCTCATCAGGATTGACTAATTGTACTTGCATGTTACACAGCCGTCAGCTGCAAAGCGCCGTATCAACTGATGACTTAGCTTAACTCTCAGCATTTGGTTATTTATTTAAGGCGAGACACTACAGACAAAACCTTTGTTTGTTTGTTTCATGCACTGGTTGAATTTGAGATCACGGGCTATTTGTTTATAACTTGTCTTCTTATCTTCAGACGCAATGCAAAGAAAACATCTAAAGCATCTTAAATCTAAATTTAAGTGTTTGTTATTTATTGCACTTTATCTATTTGTGTTTGTAGATTTCAATTCCAAGCCGTGCCTTTAAAGAGTTTTTTCTCCAAATGAGTTTGTTTCTCCACTTCAGCAGCACGTACAAACACCAACATTTACAGTTTTATTCCTTTCTATATTCTGAATGTTTTTCTAGAGGGGATTGTTCACAGCATTCGCCTGGTTTATGTAGCATTACAAAAACATTTAATTCCTAAAAACGTTATCGATTTGCAACTGTAGAGTTCAATTCCATTCCATATCTTTAAAACTTTACAGTTTTATTCCTGTCTAATATTCTGAAGATTTTTGTTGAGGCGTTTGTTCATGTATCATTCACATTGATTTATACAACATTTTATTCCTAAAAACATGGTGAAAATGTATTTTACCCCGGTACCTTAGCAACTGCATAGCAACACCTTAGAAACCACACAGAGTACCCTAGCAACCGCATTGCAACACCCTAGCAACCGCATAACAACACCTCAGCAACCACCCCAGGTACCCTAGTAACCGCATAGAAACACCCTAGCAACCGCATAACAACACCTCAGCAACCACTCTAGGTACCCTAGCAACTGTATAGCAACACCCTAGCAACCACCCAGAGTACCCTAGCAACTGCATAACAACACCTCTGTAACCACCCCAGGTACCCTAGCAACCGCATAGTAACACCCTAGCAACAACCCAGAGTACCCTAGCAACCGCATAGCAACACCCTAGCAACCAATCCGGGTACCTTAACAACTGCATAGCAACACCTTAGAAACCACACAGAGTACCCTAGCAACCGCATAGCAACACCCTAGCAACCGCATAACAACACCTCGGCAACCACCCCAGGTACCCTAGTAACCGCATAGCAACATCCTAGCAACCGCTTAACAACACCTCAGCAACCACCCCAGGTACCCTAGCAACCGTATAGCAACACCCTAGCAACCACCCAGAGTACCCTAGCAACTGCATAACAACACCTCAGCAACCACCCCAGGTACCCTAGCAACCGCATAGCAACACCCTAGCAACCGCCCCCAGATACCCTTTTTTTATGTCTGATGACAGTATTTTCTGATAAAAAGAGAAATCCAAAATTCCCTCTTGGAAAAACCTTTAACTCTAATATGACAACAAAGTCGAGCAAAAATTTTGAACCTGGTTTTATGAATGTGCTGTGATTAATCGAATAGGCAAAATATGTTTATATCTATTAGTTAAAATGTTACCCTATTCACCTGTGGTGTCTTGCCTCACAATTTGTTGTAATAAACTTTGGGACCAAAAACAGGAAATAACTCGCAACTTAAGCCATGTTGAACCCTAATCTTGAGTTTATGAATTTCTGGTGATGTTCAGTGCAAGGCAAATTCATCTCAAGGATGTTTTCTAGCTCAGAGCAGAGTTGAAGTGTACATCAACGATCTCTAGAGAATAATCCATTGCATTCGTCTTCCCTGTGATCTCCTCAGTTCAGGAAGTGTCTGGTTCAGCTCTTGAGCTGCAGTGACGTCACCGTCATCGAGGGGAACATCAACCAGACCACCGAGCGCGCAGGCATGACCAACGAGAGCAACACAGGAGAGATGTCCGCCATCGCCGCACGCATCCCCGCGGCTGGAAGCATCCCACCTAAAACAGAAGAGCATCCCAATGAACGCAGCTCCTTCACCCAAATTCCCATTCCTGAGAACAAAGTATGTCCGATGTGAAGACACGCCAACATCTCTGTTTGTCGCTCGTGTTCTCGGGCTGACAATCTAAATGATGTTCATCCAGCATTAAATTCTGCAGCTCGTGCACGACAGACAGACGATGTTACAATTACAGAAAAACACTGAAACATGCAGTGTTGGGGACGGAACTATAACACCGCTAACTTTCTCTTGAAAAGCAGTTCACTACAAAAACACAATAGAAGGCTTAGATATCTTTTAAAATCTATTTTTTGTTTATTTTAAAGCAACAGGTTTGTTTAGCAACAGTTTCACGAATATGGATGCAAACAGTTTAAACTGATGAATTTGCAATACAATTATTAATTTGCTACAGTTTAAATGGTAATACTTTACTTGAGGCCTTTATGTACAATGCATTATGCATTTTCATAAATAATTGTGATAATTTACAAATAATTGTAAAAAGTTAAAATGCATTGTATTTGCTTGTTACATCTGAAATTGGTTGTGTGTCATGTGTTTTAATGCATTATATTTTCTAAAGGTGTAACAATGAATAGATAAATATTATAATATAACAGTGGTTACAATTATTCATGATGTGATACAATGCATTATAAGTCGCATTACAAAGCATAATTAATGCACTGAAATAGTTTTATCATGCATTTTGCAATGCAAATGTAAAAAAGGAAATTGTGACTTTTTAATCTCACAATTTGGACTTTTCTCCTCAGAATTGTGAGTTTACTGTATATCTCACTTTTTTTTCCTCTGAATTCTGAGTTTTGCATTAACATTTTGCAGTTCCCCCCCCCCCCCCCCCCCCCCCCTCTC